ACACACACACACACACACTTATTATGTTTGCTTCTTCCGTCCCCGTGAACCAGCCTTTATAACAACCGGTGCAAGGTTACAAGACATGGCGCAGAACATAAAGGATTCTTTTTAGTTGTTGTTGTTGTTTTGTTTTTTTAATGGCTCACATGAATGGGCGTAGGGATGCCGACCTATGTTTAATAAACTGTACGGGGATTCTCATTATGAAGCTAGCAAATTTGCAACTTAAAGAAACACAGAAAAACAAAGAACAGGTCACATTTTGTTTGCATTTGTGGAAAAATAACATTTTCAAATATATGTAGATCTTGAGGGATATATTTTTATACACACACACCCATGCATGTGTTTGTGTGTGTGTGTTTATATTATATATTTTTTTCTTTGTAAAATATGTATAATGAATCATGCTCCTATACATTCCTGGGAAGAATTTAAGTCGTACCATACTGGAAAGACTGAAGGAAGCCGTGGATGCAAAACTAAGAGAGGAGCAGGCAGGATTTCGTAAAAAGATATCATGTACAGATCAGATTGCAACTTTGAGGATAGTAGTGGAGCAGTCCACAGAGTGGAACTCTTCCCTGTACGTTAACTTAGTTGACTACGAGAAAGCTCTTGACATTCTAGAGACTCAATATGGAAGCTCATGCGCCACTACGGAATACCTGACAAGTTCGTGAGATTGATCAAGAAGATGTATGAGGGAAAGGGTTGCAGTGTCTTACTTGGAGGGCAGCGGACAGACTCGTTTCAAGTGAATACAGGAGTGAGACAGGGATGCCTGCTATCGCTTTTTCTCTTTTTATAAGCAGTGGATTGGATAATGAGACAGACAACATCGGGACAACGAGGTGGCATACAGTGGACTCTTTCCAGTCAGTTGGAAGACTTGGACTTCGCCAACGACTTAGTACTTCTTTCTCACAGTCGAGCCCAGATACAACAGAAAACAGATCGCCTCAGGACCTACTCCCGTAGTGTTGGACTCCATATTCACACGGATAAAACGAAATTTCTACGAATGAATGCAGCCGACGTTTCTATCACACTGCAAGGGGCACCATTGGCGGATGTTGAATCCTTCACCTACCTGGGAAGTCTCATCAACAAGGCAGGGGGAACAGACGAAGACATCAAGGTCAGAATCCAAAAGGCAAGAGCAGCATTCATCTTTTTCAGGAATATATGGATGTCTAAGTCTAAGGAACTGGGATTGAACACCAAGCTGAGGATCTTCAAAACAAACGTGAAGACTGTTTTACTGTATGGTTCAGAGACATGGAGGCTCACAGCATCAGCAGCAAAGAAACTGCAGAGCTTCGTAAATTGGTGCCTTCGATGGATAGTGGGGATCAAGTGGTACGATCGAGTCACTAATGCTCAACTGTGGGGAAGAACAAGCCAAAGGCCAGTAAAGGAAGACATACAGGTGAAGAAATGGAAATGAATTGGACACACCCTGAGGAGACCCCCGACATGCATCATCAGGCAGGCTTTAACGTGGAACCCACAAGGAAAACGTAAGAAGGGAAGACCAAAGATGACATGGAGGCGAGTGGTACAAGCGGAAATTGAAAAAGCAGGGACATCATGGAAACAGCTAGAAGGGGATGCTCAGGACAGGCTTCGCTGGAGTAATGATGTTAATGGCCTGTGCTCCACGGGGAGTTAAAAAGGGCAAGATAGAGGAAATATATAATTTTAATACCGCATTAGGCAAATAAAAGAAAATTTGAGTACACTAACAGTGATTCTGCTCGCCGTAGTGCAGCATTTTGTTTAAGCGTTTAGGTTGTGCCTTTTCTCTGAGATACCCTAGTAAATACTCGTATCCATTTGTTGAAAACCACCGCGCCAACGTTTTAAAAAGTTTTGGCTTTTGGCTTCAGTGTTTCTGGCTCCTGGAAGCGCAATAATGTAGCAAACAGTTTTGTTTCCTTAGTTTATGTACATTGTCTTTTTCTTCTCTTTACAGTGCATTACTGAAGGCTAATATGTAGGTTTGAGACTGCTACCTTGCCGCGGTGGAATGTACGCTTGGTGTTTGACCAACTGGACCTCCCAAAAGACGCCTTCACTCGTTCACCGAGTCGCTGACGGATGCAAGAAAAACTTAAGACCAATTATTATAATTATTATACCTTTGGTATATACCTTTCCAGCTTATGTTTTGTTTCTATTTGCGTGTACATGTATTGTTAAAAGTTGTTGACCAAAAACATAAAAAAGCAAGAGCAAAAAAAAAAAGACAAAACAACGGACGACAAACGAAGTTAAATATTGATTTCGAATAAATTTTCTACTTTTGTTTAAAATACACTGTAGATGTATTTTTTGTCTTATTATCGTTTGTTGAATTTGTCAGAAGACTACCGGGTACATCAAGTGCCTGGCGTCTGTGGTGTAGAAGTTAAGTGCGTTGTCAAACGCTGAAAACAAGAGTTTGAATCCTTTGGTGGAAGTAAGGTTTTAATAATTTATAGTGTGTCCGTCTTTATGTAAAGACATTTGTTTGTTTTAGAAGAGGTTTTTCGGCGCTCACAATTGCATAAGGTCATTCGAGCGCCTAGGGGTGGATGTCAACAGAGAAGTCCTGACAGGAAATCAGACTTACTCTGCTTACCTCTCTAGCTTCAACAGCACAAAGTATGCTTCGACTATCAAGGCATCCCGAAAATAGCGGGTCACAAGAGTGACAAACATACAAAAGAAATAGGGGGAAAATTTAAATGACAATAGTAAGGAGTAGGAAAGAAAAGCAGCAGTTCCCTGTTGCAGTTCAGGCACAGTTATGAGCATGACATCGATGAATCAGCCCTTTTACAATTCTACTGTGCATAAGAACAGGTTAATGCCTGCCCCCCCCCCCCCCCCCCCCTTTGGGAATGGCCTGAAGACATTTCAGTGAGTAGCACCAGAGAGGTAGCACCGCCTCGGGGGTGTGTCATTGTCTGGTTTGTCCCTGACAACCAAGGTCAAAGCACACTGCCTTCTATGTGATCTAAATTGTGTCGATAGTGGCATAAACCATTTGTGAAGAGTGCTGACAAAATGAGTTACTTCTCAGATTTTAGACAGATGGAAAAAGAAACATCAAATTTATAGGTTGAAGTTTTCAAAGTTATCAGTATGAAATGATAAAAGACAAGTTAAACTTGAAGAGAATGGCATTGGTTTAGAGTCTACAAATATGACCCTTGTGTTGAATTTTGGCTGATATCGCCATTCACGGATTGCGAGAAGTAACTCATTTTGTTAGCACGCCTCACATTTTGCAACCTTTTACAACATGTGGAGGTACGACAAATCAAAGCCAGGGTGGCCCAATTGTAATTGTTTGGACACATAAGCAAAAAGTATATTATTCTCAATAAACAGACGTAAAAATTTCAACATTATATCATATTCCATTGGATTACATCAACTTCAATATAATCAGAGCTAGCATTGGCTAGGTCTCTGATGTAATATTATCTACTATCTGTGATGTAAAGGACAAGAAGATTTGCAAAATTCACGTGAACCTAGACCAATAACTGCCACCAATAAAGACATCAAGATTTAATAAAAAATCCTCGTGTGTCCAGACTTAATTAGGGGTACCCCCGCAGTTCCCGGCTTCAAACACGAAATAGATTGGCAGGCATTCTGCTTGAATTGAGCTAAGGATCCCAACGTGGGTGGGTGAATCAAGCTTATCTCTGTGGGAGGTCCGGGTTTAAACTTATTCTGATTAGCACAGTGCTTATGATAAAAGATTTACCCAGGTCACAAGATAGCATGCGTCATTCTGTCGCCATTAAAAAAAGTAGGCCTACACTACATGAAGTTTTTACAATTTTACAGGAGAACCAAAAAACTGAGTCACCAAGAAAACAGCATTTGCATATAAGATTGAAGGAAGTTCTTTTTTTTAAATATATTGGGATATTTTGCTAAGAAGAAATTGTGGGTTTTTTTTTTAAGTAACAGCGTTCAGTTTCTTTTGGGGGGAGGGGGGGGCGTCGGCTATACTGCAAAATTGTTAAAAACCGGATTGTACTTTTTTAAAAAGGGAGTGTATACAGACCCGGTAACCGGGAACAAAGTCACAAAGTATACAGACCCGGTAGGGGAACTCTTTTGTGATTTCGGAAAGTTTCAGCGCCTCTTGG